TATTATAAGAAGGTGTCTTATGACGGGGGATTGTTTTCAGTTGGAGACGATGTGTATGTGAAGAGGAGAGAGGATGCGAGCTCAGACGATGACGACCCTGAAATTGAGGAGTGCAGGGTGTGTTTCAAGGCTGGCCGACTTTTAATGATCGAGTGTGATGATTGTTTGGGCGGGTTTCATTTGAAATGCTTAAAACCGCCATTGAAAACAGTTCCTGAAGGGGATTGGATTTGTGCGTATTGTGAGGCGAAGAAATTGGGGAAGAAAGTAGAATTACCAGCGGCGCTGAAAGGGAGGAGAAGACGTAGAACTGCAAAAGAAAAGCTTCTTTCAAGCGATTTGTGGGCAGTCCGTATTGAAAGGTACGATTACTCATTTCTGAACTAGAACAACTCGTTTTGCCCTTTTGTTGATTTCAACCAGACATCTGGTGTTCTAATTCATGGAGTTTATCAGTTTATGGAAAGATGTCGATGGTAGCTACTGGTTTCGGGGTCAATGGTATATGATTCCCGAGGAAACATCTGCAGGCAGACAGCCACATAATCTGAAACGGGAGCTATATAGAACCAATGACTTTGCTGATAATGAGGTAATGCGTCTTCTAAGTTATACTGTTGTAGGTTGATAACTTTGTGTATCTTCATTATTGCTTACCTTGTTCTTTTGAGTGTCTTCTAGATGGAAACTATCCTTCGCCATTGCTATGTCATGTCTCCAAATGAATATGCCAAGGCTGGAAATGAAGGTGACGATGTGTTCTTATGTGAATATGAATACGATGTGAAGTGGCATAGCTTCAAGCGAATTGCTGAAATAGCAAACAATGAAGAGGTAAGTAATTTAAAGAATTAAGAAATTTGAAGTAATCAGAAGACCTGATCACTTTTGATTTGTTAGGATGATGAAGAAGCTGAACATGATGAAGATTGGAGTTGTGATGAAGATTCAGATTCCGAGACTGATGATGATGACATGGAATATGAAAAGGAAGATACATATAAATCAACCCCAACTCACAAAATGGCTGCTGCAGTAAGGATACTTCTTTTATCACCCATCTTTTTAATCATGTTCTTGATTAAAATTTTAAGGCAAATTACTTTCTATTATGCAGAACTCACGAAAGGGCTGCACATTTGGACTTCAGAAAATTGGGACAAAAAGAATCCCAGAGCATGTGAGATCTCACAAGCAGACTGAACTTGAAAAGGCAAAAGCAACACTTCTTCTAGCAACTTTGCCCAAATCTTTGCCTTGTAGGAACAAGTAAGTGATATTTGAGGTGATTTGATTTAGTCTCATTATCACCACCTAAATTTAATGACTTACATTCTCTTATATTGTAGAGAGATGGAAGAGATATCTACATTTATCAAAGGTGCTATATGTGATGATCAATGCCTAGGTCGTTGCCTTTACATCCATGGTGTTCCTGGAACTGGAAAGGTAGAATTTCTTTGCTGCATAAGTATGATGGTTGACTATGTTGTTGACTTTAATGCATCCCAAATACTAATATGCCCTTATTTACAGACAATGAGTGTGCTTTCTGTGATGCGGGGTCTTCGATCTGAAGTTGATGCAGGAATCACTAAACCTTACTCCTTTGTGGAGATAAATGGTTTGAAATTGGCTACACCAGAGAATATATACAGAGTACTGATTTGTAGTAACTTTAGATGTTTTTGAATTTTAACTGTTCTACATTATATCCATTTCCTAAAAGGCTAAAACCAAATTCATGGCTGTTTTCAGGTTATTTATGAAGCTTTGACTGGACATAGGGTCAGCTGGAAAAAAGCTCTAAACTTACTGAATGACAGGTTTACAAATGGGTTCAAAAGCAGCAAAGATGATGATCGCCCTTGTATTCTTCTCATTGATGAACTTGATCTTCTAGTCACAAGAAACCAATCGGTATAAACAATGACTTATAACCATAAATCTAAAATCTTCCCAGGATTGATTCTGATACTTGTTTTTCATAGGTGTTGTACAACATTCTTGATTGGCCTACAAAGCCGAATTCCAAACTTATTATAATTGGAATAGCGAACACCATGGATCTTCCAGAAAAGCTGCTTCCAAGAATTTCAAGCCGAATGGGTATACAAAGGCTTTGTTTTGCTCCATACAACTACATGCAGCTTCAAGAAATCATTGGGTGTCGTCTTAAAGGAATTGATGCATTTGAGAAACAAGCTATTGAGTTTGCTTCAAGAAAGGTCCATATTTACACTAATTGCCATCAGATGGATTTAGCAATTGATTTAAAAAAGAAAATCGACTTACACATACAGTGTATTGTGCGTATGTAGGTTGCAGCAGTTTCAGGAGATGCACGTCGTGCCCTTGAGATATGTCGACGTGCAGCAGAACTTGCAGACTATCGGGTTAAGAATTCAATTTCGATTCCTAAAGCGGGTAAGAATTATTTTGTTGACTTGTTGACTTGTTATCCAGATTAGGGTGGTGTTTCTTTTTTACTTAATATATTAAACACGTTCATGAACTCTAGGTATTTAGAACTGACTGACTGAAATAAGAACTGAATAATTACTACTTTACTAGTAAATGTGAAGAATTACAACAATTCCATTAGAATACGAGAGGCTAGTTCTCTCCCTGAGCTTTCACTCTAACAGAAATAAATCCAAGATATCCCTAACCACCTATTTATACTAAGTACTGACCTAATCTATCTAAAGAGATAATGATTAATGACCATATTGCCCTTATTAACTAACTGAAGACAACTATCAAGACTAAACCCAGGCCTACTTAGAAGTTAGAAGTGCAACACGTGTCTGAGTGGGTAAAAGTGGGAAGGTCACTTTAGATTTTCAGATGTTACATTTACCACTTGTACCCTCCTTTTTTTTTTTTTTTCTCCACACCTTCTACCGAATCTGCTGCTATCTTTCTATCAAGGATAAATGATTACCAAATGCTATAAAGGAACATTGAAAAAAATGAAGGGAATTTTAGTTCTAAATTTGAGCTTATACTATGCTAAGGTTGGTATAATTTTGATGCTTGACAAATTGTTTGATTAATGAGTATGTTTGTGAGCTTGATAAAAAGTCTTTGAAATTAGATGTTACTAATCGACAAAAAATGGTTTATGTTTGTCTGATATAACATGATGCACATTTGATTCTTTTTTTATCTGTTTGATCCTCAATACGTTTTACTTCAGGTATGCAATAAAATGGTGATTCGAACAATTTTGATTTTAAATTTTTTAATGAGATCATTTACAGTGGTTATCAAATAAATGGTCATTTGTTATTTGACAATTTTAAATATAAGGGTAAAATAGTCATTTATTCAGATTCCGACATTGCGTTCATTTCAATATTTACAGATACACTTTATCCACACATATAGCATTTTTCATTCGGTATGCTTTATTAATTCATCAATTCAAGACTTAATATGCAAAAAAAAAAAAGGCCTAAGTTCTTAACCCATTAAGTCCATTATGTCAAAATATAACAGCCACTTATCTATCAACCTATATCATTATACCACAAACATTATATAAAACAAAATATGTCAAAATATGATTTCTTCATGTAATGTACCTTTATGAAGCATGATTTGATGTTTGCAGGAAAAGCCCTTGTAGGCATGGCTGATGTGGAAGCAGCCATACAGGAGATGTTCCAGGCTCCTCATATTCAGGTCAGTGATGATGAATTTTTGGTCAAATTTGTAAGCTTATGTCTCTTTATTAATATCATTATGAATCCTACCATGTCATATAGTTAAAATTCCAATTATGCCCTTTTTCAGGTAATGAGAAATTGTTCTAAACTGAGTAAGGTTTTCTTAGCTGCAATGGTGCATGAGCTTTATAAAACAGGAATGAGTGAAACCACCTTTGAAAAGGTCTTTTTTTCTTTTAATGATTCAGAAATCATAGATTGCATATTTTTCTATTTTTTTTTTTTTTTTCTGATGTTTGTTTTGTGGGTACAGCTGGCGCAAACGGTTTCATGTCTGTGTACAAGCAATGGAATCACATTTCCTGGATGGGACACACTACTGAGAATTGGGTAAGCCAGATTTTTATATTCAAATGTTTATTTGAAATAAAAACTTGTTTATACATAATTTCAAGATTTGTTTTTTTTTTTTTTTAATTGGCAGGTGTAAGCTTGGTGAATCCAGAATTGTTCTTTGTGAATCAGGGGCGAGTCACAGGTTGCAGAAGCTGCAGCTCAACTTTCCTAGGTTGGTTATTGTAATTAACTTTAGGATTAAAAATATTTTATATCAATTAACTTTTTATAAACATTCTGATTTTTTTAATGGTGGAATGATGGCAGTGATGATGTGAGTTTTGCACTCAAGGACAGCAATGAACTACCTTGGTTGACCAAATATATGTGATGTGATACGGAAGGCTACAAGTGATTATGAGTTTAATTTATATCTTTAAATTATTCAACACACCACAGATTTTTAATACATTCTTATTTATTTTTTATGGTTGAAATTTTCTCCACAAATGTTTCTGATTAAGGGTAAGGCTATTTGCCTTGATGTTGTCTGTACTTGAATCATTTGGATATTTTATTTGTTTCTTTTATGGATTATATTTTGATAATAATTTGCTTTTGGTTGCACTTTTTCCATTTATTTCTTTCTTATTGTGATCAGGCAAACTAAGTTGGTAAACAACTTGAATATTTTTTGTTAATATAATAGAGTGAAAGAATGTTTTGAAGCATCTTGAGGTTGATGCTCTTAATCTCTGTTGCTGTCTTGTGGCTCAATGCCAATATACATACATGTAAGGAAAGCTTTGCAGCGTTGATATTATCAACAGATATTAATCTTGCATTTGTTACATTTGTAGATTGTTCATCTGTTTACTACTAGGACAAAAATTGTTTGTTTGACTTTTTAGTAAGTCAGTCTTTTATAAATCATACTTTTTATTCCCCAAAATATAACAAAGGTGAAGGCACCAGTCACCAGTGCCCAAGAGCCTTCAGCCCACTCCAAACCAATAATAGTAATGCTATTTGAAGTCTCTCCCAGTAATGGCAACCAGGTTTTGAATACACGCTTCCAAAATTATATCTTTCTTCAACATCAGCTAGCTAATAATTGGCGCATACAATCAACCGAAAATCAGAAAGCTTCCAAAATCAAACCTCTCAAATTTGGCGCATTTAACAGAAAACCTGGCATTTGATTTGCGGTTTTAGATCTAGTAGTTATGAAAAAAAAGATTTTTAAAACAAAATTAAATGTGCTAAATTAGCATGCGAGTCTCGGTTAACGAGCAGATGCCGAGAATGTCGGGCGATCATCCATTCGTCATTCCCCAATCTCTCTCCAATTCAAACCTTTTTCCGTTCTCGTCCTCCTTACGTCTTCTCTCATTCTCCCGTCCAAATCCACACCAATGGCCATCGCAGCGGTGGTGGTTTTGCCTATCGGCTTACTATTTCTTCTATCTGGACTCATCATCAATTTTCTCCAGGTATCATTTCAATTCATTCATCCAATCTATACGAATTTGGCTTCTACTTGTGGTTTTCTTTTCCTATTGCTTATAAATGATTAGATACACAATTAGAATGATTTATTGTTGGGGTGGAGATCGAGGAATTATCGGTATTTGGTAGCAACGGAGGAAATTTGTTATCCGGCGTCGAATTTTCGGAATTCAAATTATGTTTCTTTACTTTTTTTTTTTTTTTTCGTGTTGTGTTTCAAATTCTGTAAATCGCAAAGGCAATGCTCACTTCTAGTGTTAATTTGCTTTAGTTTGTAGGAATTAGGAGGATATGCTTCATTTATTTTCTCCATTTCAGTGACATGTAAGTCTAACGGTTTACAGTTACTACATAACATGGAATCTCTAGGGACACGTTAGTATGTATAGCCCTTCTCCCTAAAGGGAGGGGAGCCATTTAATGCTTTATATCGAGGATAAAAATTGATGAGTTTATGTAAAAATCTTGAGATCCAATTCCAATTCATTTCATTCCACATCATACTTGTAAAAAAAGTACTGGACTATGGAGGGCATTTCAAATATCTCATTGGTAGTCAAACAATCTCACTAAACTATGTGTTAAGACAAACATTGCATTTATCTTTGGAAGAAGGGAGTAGTAGCTAAGTCTGAAGACTTGAACCTTTATTCAGATCCTGTTCATTTATTTGATGCTAATAATTTGATTAACTAGTTTATGATTGTACTTTTCAGGCATTCTTCTTTGTCCTTGTTCGTCCATGTTCAAAAAATATGTACAGGAAGATCAATGCTTGTCTTGCACAACTCCTGTGGTTGGAGCTCATATGGCTTTTCGACTGGTGGGCACACATTAAGGTATTGTGAAAGTTTGATGATTATTATTCATTCATTGTTTCTTACTCTCATGGTGCAAACTCTACTTCCAGATATGATATAGTCTTTTCTAATACTTTATCATCATCTTTTGCAGGTTGATCTATTTATAGATTCTGAAACACTTGAATTAATGGGTGAGAGCTCTCCTTAGCTGCTTGTGGTATTATTTCAATAGTTCATATAGTTAGTTACCTTATCACATTCGTATGCAGCCTTTGAACAGATTTTACACATCAGCTTATTTATATATATCTTCAGGTAAGGAACATGTACTCCTTATCTGCAACCATAAAAGTGACATTGACTGGCTCATTGGTTGGGTCTTGGCTCAGGTAATTGTTTGAAAAAAAATACTTTGACTTTGTTTGTCTCTATAATATTAATATATTATTCATTAATTTTGTTTTTGTTATTGGCAGCGTTCAGGTTGTCTTGGTAGCACTCTTGCTTTGGTTAAAAAATCATTAAAATTCCTTCCGGTATGTTTAAATACATTTTAAATTAGGCCTCAGAAACTCATCATATGTATATCATCAAAATAAGAAAAAAGTGTTTTTTTTAATGCAGGTTATTGGGTGGTCAATGTGGTTTACTGAATATATCTTTCTGGAAAGAAACTGGTCTAAAGATGAGAACATATTGATGGTGAGATTTCATCATAATTTAAATTGGGAATGAATAACGAATATGTTGATGATATTTGTTTTTTTTTGTTTTTGTTTGGGGGGAGGGATGAACTGCAGGAAGGCTTTGAAAACCTAAGAGATTTCCCAATGCCTTTCTGGTTAGCTGTTTTTGTAGAAGGGACACGGTTTACACATGCAAAGCTTCTTGCTGCTCAGGAATATGCTATTGCAACAAAGTCACCTGTTCCTAGGAACGTTTTGATCCCTCGAACAAAGGTTTAATTAAAATTCTATTTCCTTTTTTCTCTCCAAACTCTGAATATATGTCATCTGTTGTTTGTTGAATATCTATCATCTAAACTATTTTTGTATCTTTCAGGGTTTTGTTGCTGCAGTCAATCACTTGCGCTCATTTGTTCCAGCAATTTACAACTGTACAGTGGCAATTCCTAAAAACGAGCCATTGCCAACAATCTTGAGAATGTTCAGAGGAAGATCTTCCACAGTAAACCCATATATACTTGTCTTTTTTTATCGCATTGACATCTTTACTTTACCTTGTATAGTTAAATTAGTTGTTTTAGCTTAAATCAGTTTCACAAGTTTTGAGAATTAGTTGAGATTATTAGAAGAGCATTTGGGAGTCTTCCCACTTGTTATGACATATTCCAGTGTCATTATTTGTTGTAGGTACATGTGCATGTCAAAAGACACTTGATTCGTGAGTTGCCACATACCGATGTCGACATTAGACAATGGTGTAGAGACATATTTCTTGAAAAGGTATTATCAACATTTCACCAAAGATTAATCCCATGATGATTATGAATAATCATGTCAATGTTTTGGATTTTCAGGATGCTTCATTGGAGCTACATCAGTCTGAAAACACATTTGGTGATATGGAATGTCATGGCATTGGTAGACCAAAGAAATCATTATATGTAAGACGACTTTATAACTAAATAACTATTTATTATTTTTGGTTGCTTACCTTACCCTCTTGGTTTTGTTTTTATATCGACAGGTTGTTATTATTTGGTCATGTCTTTTATTATTTGGAGTGTTTAAATTCTTCGAATGGTGTTCATTCTCTTGGGAAGCGATAACATTTTGTGCAATACTTTTGTTGTTTGTTATGGTCTGCATGCAAATCCTCATTGTTTTTTCTCAATCTGAACAATCAAATCCTCCCGAAGCATCAACACTTAATACTGAAGACGCCATGAACCAGAAGCTCATTCCATGAAATTTTTGATATTTAAAACTGTCAACCCCTAGATAGGTTAACTTTTTCCACATGTGGTTTGTAAATTTTTGTATCTTCATTCATTTCTTACTCCAAAATCAGGGAAGATTTATTTGACTTCTAACTAATTATACTTTGTTCCATGCCTTGAATCAAAAGCCTATTCACAACCCAATCCTACAATTCTTCAAAAATTAAGGACAATATGTTAATAGCAACACACTTTCAATGTTTTCATATTACCTTATGTACATATGCTACATCTGGGCATGTCTAACATCCTTAATGATACACAACACACCCTTAACAAATGTTAATGAGTTAATAGTAATAATAATAATAAAATGGGTATTAAATCAAAACGTTCAACCTCATTTTATGGTGTTACATCTTTTTCCTTTAGTTTCAACAGGACCATCTTGTCATACAAAACTCTTATGGTTGCTCATTTAACCATCCCATATGTCTGTGATGTCATCCTCAACACACATTCTTATTAATTATAGATCATATGTACTTGAACCTCTCAATAGGTTGTAGAACTTGCTTAAATACATACTTTTACTCCATTATTCCGCTTATCACTGAAATTGCAACATACATATTCCATTTTAACTGTGATGACCCGTAGCCCCTTATCTTCCAAAGATACCTTCTAGATATCCAACCCTGCATTATGCTTAATCTTAGTCTATAAAAACAAAACAGTGTTGTCCTTAACAAAACATTCACCATGGTATAACTTCCCGGATCTCATGCAGAAAATTGTCTATAGCCAAAGAGAAGATGTACTGACTAAGAACCAATATTCGATGAAGTCCAATTTCCGTTGAGAAAAATCTCGTCTATAACCTAATGAATCGCATGACAAAAATCTTGTCTAAATAAACGTAGATTTCAAAACCATAAAACACATCATGTTCGATACATATTATGTTTTGGAAAAAATTATATTAAAAATGGTTTTTTTTCACCGTTGGTTTCAGATTAAGTTTTATCCGATGCAGAGTTACTATTTTATTTCTTTGAACCAAACAGGGAAAGTTGCAGGGACTTTTTCACTTAACTTGTTTTTTTACCTGTTAAATATATGTTGGGGACTAAGTCCTAATTTTATCGGTTTACAAGTTACCTAAGGTTATTTGGATGGTTTACATGGAAATGGCCAGACCATGTGTTAGACACATCATTGCCACCTCTTCATGGACGTGTTTCCACGATACAACCTTATACACCTATTCGGTACTCCTTCTCATTCCTTATTCCCCTTTTTTGAGCAATTGAAAACCTTAAATACTTAGCTCAATGTCTTTGTCTTCCTCTCATCAACGACTATAAGTTGTAAGCACTACCAGAGACATTAAGGAATAGAGAGATTAAGAAATGCTTCTGTGATTTTCTTGCCAAGGAATGAACCTCTTGGAGTTGGGATAACTAGGCACGTCACTTATGGAACTGTTGAAACTCACTGCCGAGGTTCCGATTTTGGTTCTCTAATTTTTTGCAAATTTTATGCAAAAAAATTGTGAATTTTATTTGTAAAAACCCTAATTTTTCGTTTGGACAAACCCTTATTTATTTCTTGTAAACCCTAATATTCGTCTATGTCTCCTTCGTTGTCAAACAAGGTACAAGAGTTGTGATTACTTTGAGTGTAAAGATGATGAGCCAGGGGAAAGATACTACAAGCGACTTCTCCATGCCATGAAATAACAACTTATCAAGAAGGATTATAATAAGGAAGTGGTTATGTGCAGAAAGAAAATGTTGAGATGTAGGTATTGATTTCAAACGAAATGGTAGACTAAGCTTGATTGTCGCTTTGATGGGTTGTGGCATTAAGTTATTGGTTTGATAGTACAAAGTAAGGATTTTTTTATAGGTTTTTGTAATTGATTGATGAATTATAAATCTAACCAACTTTTTGGCAACATTGGTATTGGTGATTTTTTTGTGTAATTGAAACTATATATGAGCTAAGGTCTTATAATTTGTACTATATATTATATGTTTGGTGAGTGTGAAGTGTACACGTATATAAGATTGAATGATAAGTCGATATGATAAAATGACGGAGGGTTAAAGAGGTCATGCCCCATTGCAATTGGGATGAGCATATGGACCGGGAACAGGCCGGAACCCGATGGAACCGGTCGGGCCGGGACTGGGATGTTATTTTTGTGGATTTTTGAAATCGGGAACCGATATAACTGGAACCGGTAGAACCAGCAAAAACCGGAACCGTATGATGCTATTTTTCACGGATCAGTTCCAACATTAGAAGACACGATAAGAACCGGTAGGAACCAGGAACCGGTAGAACCGTCGGGCCGATTCGATTCTTGATTTTGGCCGAAGCCAATTCCCGGGTCGGGTCCGGTTCGGACCGGTTCGATCCTTTTGCTCATCCCTACCTTGCAGGGTCTAAGAGTTAGCACCCCTAGTGGGGTACAAGGGGCAGAACACTGGCGGTGGCCTCAAAAGGTCTTCGGAAATTTGAATTAGTATCATAATGTAAAATCCGAATTCTTCGGAAAGCGAACATACTCGATCTATTAGAATTGTTCTCCACCATAACCCTTGTAAACCCTAACAATTGGTAATTAGGTAATAATTATATAAGTAAATAATGTTTAGTAACAACCGTAACAAATTTACTCCTTTCACTGCTAACCACGTACTCAACTTTCTTGTCCGTATCAATTTCACCGTTTCCTCACATGGAGTTTCACTTCTTATCTCCCAACACCATTCACACAATCATACAAACTAAACCCTTTTCAAAGTGTTTTCAATCCTCAAAATCATCCTTCTTTGATTAAATTTCCTCAAGAAACACTTAAAACCTCATCTAACTCAGGTTTCCAATTTTATCCTTGTGCACAAGTCAAATGGGGTCCACTTATGATCATGAAACAGGTTTGACCAAGTTATGGTATGTTCAAACCTATAGAAATTACAATTCTGAGTTTCATGACTCATATAAACTTAAATCTAGTAATTACATACATACCTTGGGGAACCACCGCCTCATGTTTTGTCAATAACCGATTCTGGGGAAGATGGGTTAAATTCTGAAGAGAAATTTTATTCAGGAGATTCTACTTTCAAAATTCAATGAAACTTGTTATTGGTAGGGGTGGCAAATCGTGCTATCGTTTCGTGTTTTTGTCTGACACGACACGACACGACAATGTTTTATGTAACACGAACACGACACGACACGATGTCGTGGTTTTTTTAGCTAACACGAAAACGAACGAATTAAAAAACGACAAACACGACACGACACGAAAAATATAACATATACTAAAAACTAGTTTATTTAATGAATGCTTTATCAAATATAACACGACAAACACGATAAAGAACTGCTAAATCGTGTCAATTTCGTGTCAATTTTTTAACACGAACACGACACGACATGACATCGTGTTTTTTACAGTTAACACGAACACGGCACGAACACGAATTCAAATTTCAATTTCGTCCCAATTTCGTTTCGTGTTGTGTATTTTTGTCGTGTCGTGTCATAAATTCCCACCCCTAGTTATTGGTCTCTAATAGCAAAAATGAGGGGGGAAGAAAGCAAGTGAGGCTGCTCGATTATTGGTTAAAAGCCCCACATTATTGATTATCTTATCACTGAAGGCTATATTTTGGATGCATGGATATGTGATGAGGGGCGTTTAGACATGGTGTTAGGAAGGGTTTGGCTCAAAACCTCATGTGCAGTTGATCAAATCAAGGACAAGTCAGCGATATGTTTGAGGTATCGAGGAGTGTTGGCTCATCTTCAAGGGCTAGTTGGGATAGTGATGGAAGTAGTGAGGCATCATCTTAGGGATCAACTCAGTTTCGGTGACCAAATGGAATTTTTTGGGCTAAGTTTTGGTATGCTTCCAACTTCAGGGGTCCAAGAAGCTTACATATAAGATTATGTATGGCCGAAAACCACTAATGTAGAGTCATTATGTACCAAGAGGGATATGAGTCAAAGCAAGATCTGTAGTTAATACGTTGGATTTACCTTCCTTTATCAATATGCATATGATCCTTCTTACTTCATTGCTTACAAAAGCCATGAGTTCTCTCTTTGAACAGGTTTTGCCATCAGAACGGGAATTGAGTGCTTCGGATGGGAGGATCCCCATCATTATACTTGTTATCGATTCTATCATTATTGCTCATTGGAAAAAAAGTTGAATGGTGGTTAATCTGGTGGAAAAGGGAGCACGACTAAGAAGGCTCTATCAACCATCCATTGTTTGTTTGTTCTGTTTCAATTCTTCATCGTTAGTCTGACCTGCTACGACCTACTTTTGTTTCACCATGTTTAATATCAATGAGTTTCCCCAAGCAAGGTCAGATCGAGAGTAGTCAGAGGAAAAGATCGGGTTAAAGGTCCGAACGCAAGAAGGATTCCTCGATGAAGCTGGGTTGATGGTATGTGGTGGTCGTGGCCTTCGGGGTATGCTCTTGGGATGACACCAGGCTATGTGTAACAACCCAATTTTCACGCCCAAAAATTTCATTTAAAATAAGTGGTTTGTAAAATACTTATAGCAAAACATCATCCGATCATATCATTTCATAAAACATATTACGTGTCTGAAAACCCAAAACAAGAAAATAATAATAATGTCAGAGTAAAATCCCAGAACATCTCATAATGCGAAAATCCAAAGTGTGTGTATATGATGTGCCACTACCGCGCTGGCTCCTTCCCCTTCGCTGAAAAGGTACCTGAAACCAAAACTGAAAACTGTAAGCACAAAGCTTAGTGAGTCCCCCCATTGTACCACATACCATACAATCATATCACATACATACTGCCAGACATTTTTGGGGTACCCGACCTACCCGGTACGGCCATTCTGGGGTGCCGACCTACCTGTACGGCCATTCTAAGGTGCCGACCTACCCATGTCAAGCCATTCTGGGGTGCTGACTACCCTTCGGTCCTAACAACCGAACCTCGGGGACTATTTCACCCCTACTACTACGATCACATATAACATAACATAAGCATATTATCAGACATATATGGGGTGCCTGAAGTACCCTTCGGTCCTAACAACCGAACTTGGGGACTAGTCCCCTCCTACTACCTCTATCGCATATAACATAACAAGCCAGCATGCAAACATATCATCACATACTGTCAGACGTACCTGGGGTGTCTGACTACCCTTCGGTCCTAACACCCGAACTCTACTACTATCACATACCACATATCATGCTAGCATATAACATATCAGGTAGTAACAAACCTAGATGATATCACAAAGACAATCATCTATCATACATCTCCTACTGGTGGGCCGGCATTGTGGCCTTATACCCACTGCTACTGGAAGATAACTCACCTCGAAAAGTGGCTGCTGAAAGCCTGCTTGCTAAGCACCTGACTGCTGAATCGGAAATCCTCCGACTATAAATCATAAACATAGATTAGCCACTCATTCATACCCTTAGGTCAGATGACTGACCCACCCCTGGTCCAAGGTCAACTCCTTGGCCAAAGTCAACTTCCAGTTGACTGGACTTGCCGAGTCATGGCACCGACTCACCGAGTCCTTCTCCAACTAACCTGATCCTACTCTACAAGCCCCTCTTCCCACTCACTGAGTCACCCTTAACTCACTACTTGGGACGATAGAACCGGCTCGCGATCCGACTCGCCGAGTCCAAGAACAACTCGTCGAGTACATACGAGCAGACCTCCCACTCGCTTCTAAATCCTCACCAGAGCATCCCTTATGAGGATTTGGGTTTCTGGGACTATTGCAACACGTTAGGTTGCTAATTCCGCGTGTAAATACGAAGGGTTGGACCTTCAACATCTAAACCCCGCTTATTCAGTAACTGTTCATCTGACTTTCCGAGTTTGAAGAACAACTCGTCGAGTACCAGGCAATCTTCATAGGACTTGCCGAGTTGTTCATCCAACTCGTCGAGTCTAAGGCCGTCTTCAAAGAACTCGCCGAGTTCCACTTTGGGACTCGTCGAGTCCCTTGACCCATTTCCTATATAGACCAAATCTGAGACATGCAACGCTTCAAAACCATAGATCTATGTTCCTAGGGCATGCTTATTATGTAAAGTTGCAAACTTTACGTGCATACATGGCCCTACAAGCTTCAAAAGGCAAATCCAAGCTCTTTATGAGGTCATGCACTCAATGGGGACCTCAATCACTTCATCCACAGGAACTTTATGCTTCTAATATGTCCACAAGGTCTAGGTCTGAAGTCCTTTCAGATCATTGAGCACAAACACATGGAGTTTGGTGTTTTAGGGCTTGAAAACCACCAATTTGGGACAAAAATGGTATCTAATGACCTAGTGATCAAGGTAGGAACTTTTCTACCTGAATGGAAGCTTCTCACAGTGTAGATTTCGGATCTACTCCCCTCCTTGCACTCTTCAACCTCCTCCTTATTCTTTTAAGCTCCAAACTTCCTTCACCAAGCAAAATCACTCATAAGAATAATATGGGGGCTAGGGTCTCTCACTACAGCTCTCTAGAAGCGTTAGGGACAAGGGAGGCCGAGTTAGTGTGCTTAAATAGGGTGCCAACACTGGGGTTATGGTTATTGCCCAAACAGGGCCTACTCGCCGAGTCGGGGCACTGACTCGCCGAGTCCAAGGCTCAGACCTCGTGTCTCATCCCGCTCCTACTCGGCGAGTCGGTCCTTCAACTCGCCGAGTCCAAAGCAAAAATGCATGAATTTAGAATAATTATTACAAAAAATACGTACCGGGAACCAGGTGCTACAGTATGCATGAGTTGACTCCTCGTCGTCGGGGTCAGAATCATCGACGTAGGAGAGATTAGCCAGAGAAGAAAGATTTTCTGGCCACAAGAGAGGGTTTGTGCGCGGAAGCGAACTAGATATCCTCTTTGACCATATTTGACTTTCATTTGGATTAATTGAAGTTAGACCATCCACATCAGTGAAATGTCACTAATTTTTCAAAAGTGATCCCCACCGCCACATCAACAATTACTTTATATATATATATATATATATATATATATATATATATATATATATATATATATATATATATATATATATATATATATATATATATATAAACATAAATATACTAATATTTGTAAATAAATAATAATTAAAATTAAAATTAAAATGATATGCTAAACATAAATCAAAGAACGTCCAAGCTTCTATTATATATATATATATATATATATATATATATATATATATATATATATATATATATATATATATATATATATATATATAGAAAATAGTAAAAACAAAAGCAAAATTTAATATTACAAATCATTTTGCAAGGCTTGCTATATTTGCAAGGACATGTCTTGGCATAAAAAAAGAAAGGAAATTGCAATCCTACGATGTGGATGCTCTAAAAGGCGTATCTTGTACCAAATTTAGGTTAGATTGTATCTTGGATCCATTTTATGGGCTTAAACATTTTTGGGTTAATTCACATGGGCTACACTATCTTCGACTTTCAATTAAACTCAAAACCATTTAGGAAAACAATATTTAAGGATTTGATTATTGAGTTAAAAATAAGAGATAATCGTGTCTAATTGGAGATTATATCAATTAAATGGTTAAGTATGTTATATGGATATATGGATCGGTTTAAACCAAAAGTAAGGTGATTTATATTTTAAAATAAATAAATATATAACGTTTTGAATAATATATTGTATTTATGAAATGATAATGTAACATAGTTGGAAATAAATTATAGAAGATATTCGAAGACATGTTTATAATTAATAGGAGGGGTAAAATGGTCATTAATTAGAATGTGTTACTTTAAAGATAACCAAAATTAAGTATTTAATAAATATTATAATATAATACTTGAATTTTGAACGTAGTAGAGACTATTGTTGGGATGTTGGCGATCAAGAAGCTCGACAATTCATCTTAGCCACTTTAGTGGTTTTATCATGTGTTTTTGCTTCTTCAGGTGAGTTCTCATGAACTTATTTATTATATAGACTGTGATATTAATATATTATATGTGTATGTTACACCATTGAAGGTCCCGGTGTGGGTAGATGGTGTAATATTCAGACCACAGAAGGTCCTAGTATGGGTAGGTGGTCGACCATTGAAGGTCCCAGTGCGGGTAGGTGGTCAGGATGGGAATCAAGTGGTGCTATCTGGAGTATGTATGCTAGCATTTATATGACATGATGGGAATCCAGTAGTACCATCTAGAGCATGCATGTTAGCATTTATGTGATAGGATGAGAATCTAGTGGTACCATCTGGAATATGTATGCTAGCATTTATATGATAAAATGTATGTAATATGTGATTAATCACTTGATGTTTATATATGTTATGTGTATTGCATATGATCTATATAATGAGTGCGTGTTGTGATGACTCACTAAGCCTTAGACTTACAGTTGCTACTTTATATTTTTAGTTGCAGGTCCTTCATGTTCAAAGGACAGAGAGCTGACATGATTGGGATATATGGATATTCTCGGAAGGGAACTGCATCTAGCTACATGTTCTTTATTACGTTATGGTTTTCAATACACGACATAGCTTCCGCAATTTTATTATGTTTGTATTAATATAACGTAAAATGACAACTTATTATTTTACTAATGATTATGAATAAAACCTTTTGGTAAAAATATATACTCTGATTTTCAAAATATTTAAGGTTGGATTTTTGGGATGTTACATCTTTCAAGATCAACTTTAATGCATCACACATCCCCATAACTTCAAATTGATTTAAGTCTCTAGGTAGCACCTAAAAATTCCCATGGTGAATGTTAAGTTCATTAAATATCTCCATAATGGTTTGACATACCTGATTTTCCCATGTCTGCCCATTTAGCTTCAGATTGTACAACCTCTCCATCACATACACTCTTAATTCCTCAAACATTGTGATTATTGGCGTTTTCCTAGCATCAACTATTAGAGCATTAAAACTATCAGATATTCCACTTTCCATATAATCACAACATATACCAGTTTGGTAAAATGCTCTTGACTGAGTCTTTGGGTCTTTATCCATCAAGTAATTATGAACACTTAGATTCAATGCATTAATTTCCTTCATGGTAGATTTGAATGTTGGTTCGGTTGAAGCTTTGGATGCTCTCTAAAATAAAGTTTATAGTGCGCACCATTATATATTTTCTTCAATTTCTCACAAATATGTCTACACAATGTTTGTACTCTACAGAGGGTAACATTTCTTTCGTTGCCTCTAGCAGGCCCTGTTAAGAAAACAAATAAGTTATGACAAATCATGTTTAAATAAAAAAATAAAAATGTAAACATTAACGATTACCTTGTGTGGACACGACATCAAAGTATAGCCATTTCCTAAATTCAGTTGTAGGTCAACGAGATTATCCAAAAACCACTTCCAATTGTCCTTGTTCTCTACACAAACAATTGTTCATGCCATATGGTAAATTTGGTTGTTTGTATCCCCAGCAATAGCACTAATCAATTCTCCTCTGTAAATTCCCTTTAAAAAAACACCCATCAAGACCTATTATTTGTGTACAACTCTCCATCTATCCCTTGTTTACTCCTTAAAAGCACACTTATAATTTAGTAAAATAGTTTTTCCTACCCGGCATGCAATTGACATCAAGCTTCACAAAAGACCCTGGATTTGATCTACTTATTTCTTTACCGTAGGACCATAATGTTGCATAGTGTTCCACAATATATTATTCAATAAGTTGCAATGCATATTTTTTAGCTCTTCTACATTGTCCAAGACTTACTTGAATACCAAACTTCTTACTTTCAATCTAAGTTTCCTTACACTAATCTTCTACATATGTAAAATTTAGTTACTATAGTGACTCCCTATCCATGTGTATGTAACAAGTGACCATAAGTTAATGTTTCTTGCAAAATTATGCTCACTCTTCAAATATTTTATCTGCAAAGTCTCTTCATCACTCATTCAGGATGCACATAACCTGAATCTGCAAGAACCCTTATAACATAAAACTAATTGTCTTTTCGTATCATTCTTTTAAACAAAGTTGGTACTCAGTGGCCAAAACATAGTTTCACAACATGGTTTCACTTGCCTTGAGTCCTTAAACCCCATACCAAGTACATGCTTTTTCTTTTTTCAATGTAACGATTCATTAAAAATGGCATATACCTAGTCTCACTTGCACCCTCATCAACTTCATCATTGTTAATGTTGAAGTCCTCTCCCTCTTGAGCAGACAATTTACTCATAAATTCTCCATTTGATGTTATGTTCACAAGTAATGTTTCCTCATTATAATCAACATAAAGTTCACCCATATTAGCTACTTCTTCCTCATTTCCCCACCCATGATTCATGGATCATGTTCATTTTATTCATTGACTTCATTAGCAAACAATTCCTCTATTCTAACATCGGTGTGGTCCACATAGAGAGAAATTTTACCATTTGTTTCATAAGCATAAAAATTGAAAGATGCATAGTCTATATCATTTGCAATAGGAAGAATTCCATCCAACAATGTTTCATCTGGCTCACAATAGTAAAGTTTATTCTTACATGAAACGTTCAAGCCAGGTTACACACTCAAAGTATGTCATGCCAACAAAATCATGATCGTCAATGATAAAGGTGAAACCATTAGCATAAAAGGAGATCACAAACAAAACCCCATCATAATTGAGCTCCACCTTTGCATAAACTCCATTAGGATGTGGATTTGCCACGTTCACTGCTTAGATGCTTTTACACTTAAAAAAACCCTGGGGTTTTTTTTTGTTCTACTTTTTTGTTTATGGAACAAACCGATGGAAGAAACTATACCACCTTTATATCAATACCTCATTTAAATGATGCTGAATACTTACATGTCATTAAAAAAATATATTTAGTATCATCAACTCAACAAAATTGGATGATTGCTTCACATTTCTCAAAATGGTTCAACGGACACGTGAATTCATACATAAATGACGTATTGTGCAAAAACGAAATACATTAAGGACCTACTCAGTGAGGAAGTGTTGAAGCTTCTTTTACAATGGGACAAGACTCGAGACAATGTAAATTCCATGGGAAGGTTGGATCGAGTATTGGTGATGAAAGTCGTTGGCCTGCCACAACCAAACTTCTTGCCAAGTATTCTCGTCAAATTGAGACTCATGCGATAGAGTCTGACAATGAATGAATGGTGGAGGCCGAGGTTTGTCTTGTCTTCCTTCTTAAATAAAATAAGACTAAATAAGACTTGCATTTATTTGTTTGTGTATTTATTATTCTCTACATTCACATTCACTTGAGAAAGAATCCCATTATCATGGGATTGAGATTGGGAAGATTTAGGCTACTTATGAGATGAATGGAAAATTTTATAAGGAATTATTAGTCTTCTCTTCATCGGGTGCTATCTATATCTATCTATCATCTTTAACAGAGAGTGTAGTATTGACAAGATAGAATACATAAAATCATATCATATTTCCTTATGCAAGCAAGGCTCTTCTTTTCTTCACCACAAGTACAAACAAACATTGTGTGTGTCTGTGCGACCTACCTACATTATCTTCCATCTTCCATCTTCCATCTTTGGCAGATGGCAATGCCCTAAAATCAAAATCCGTCTATGTCATCCATCAAAATCCGAAAGGTGATTTCCTCCTGCTTCCGCCTTCTCCATATTGCTCGTTCCATTTTCTGAGTTCATTCATGCTTGTTGCATCATAAGCAACAGATGGGCCCACCTATAAATATAAATATATATATCATCCAACAATTTTAAGTTTATAACCAACCGAAAAGACAATAAAAGTGAAGTGTTGTTTGAGTTGTTGGAAAAGAACCTTGGCTTTGGATTGTAGAAAATCATCCAAATTAAGTGCTCTTAATGCTGCTGCTGGAGTTGTGTCGTGTTTCTTTCCCTGTGAAATGGGAATGGGATTGATGTATAAATAAAAAATAAACAGAAAATTATAAAGGACTACAATGAGTTAGTTAGTTAGTTAGTTGGTTATAAAGCTGAAAGAAAAAAACTTACTTTCTTTTCTTCATCTAAAAGTTCTTGAACAGGTCTATATGCCGCAGCAATACACAGATTCTGCACAAAACAAAAGAAGGGAGAAAGAGATATAATCAAACCAAAAAAAAATAATAATAATAATAACAAAGTCAAATTATCAGATGTGTTGTTTCTTTTGTTTTTACTTAATAACGAGGAGAGGACATAATACAGCAAGAAAAGAAGAGACTTTCTCATTGTCCCAACTTTTTTACAAAACTCATTTCCTTCCAAATGCGCCCCCATTGTTAATTTTCTCAAGTATTTTTTATTTATAACACAGATGACATTTAGATAGAAAGAAAGGAAGATGATTGATTACCTTTAAATCACTCCCGGAGTATCCTTCAGTTGCATTTGCAAGAGCTCTGATATCAAAACCAGGTGCTACATTCTCTTGGGCAAGAAATATTTTCAGTATCTTCAATCTATTATCCGCATCTGGAAGATCCACATATATCCTAAAAACCAAAACCAACCCCAATCTAAGCAAACATTACATTAAATTGTAAAAATATGTTATGTTATGTTGTAACCTTCTTGGTAATCTACGGATGACAGCATCATCAAGATCAAAGGGTCGATTTGTGGCACCAAGAATGAGAATCCTCTGACTGTCTTTTGATCTCAATCCATCCCATGCTGCCATGAACTCATTCCTCATTCTTCGCGTTGCCTCATGCTCAAACCCCCCTCCACGCGCTCCAAGCAGACTGTCTACCTGTTCAACATCCACATCCACATCCACATCCACCAAATAATGTTTAAAAAAAAAAAAAAAAAAAAAACTAAACTGAAAATATAAATAAACATAAGGATCATGTTATTGATTTGATAAATAAACATGATCCACCCACCTCATCAACAAAAACAATAACAGGGGCCAACTTGCTGGCAAAGGAGAAGAGGGCCTTTGTAAGTTTTTCCGCATCACCAAACCACTGCGTATACATACATACATACATACATAACAATAAATATCAGAAAAACAGGAGCCAATCAGTCCATGACAGAAGGAAAAATATCACTTGGTAATTTGGTATTTATTTATGGATTGGGTGGAAATGAAAGTAGAGTAGGTTACCTTGGATGTAAGTGTGGAACCAGTTATGCTGATAAAGTTAGCTCCTGCTTCAGTTGCAAGTGCTTTTGCAAGAAGTGTTTTCCCAGTTCCAGGAGGCCCGAAAAGCAATATTCCTTTGCAAGGCTGAAGAACAAATCAAAAGAAAACTTTTTTTTTGTTAGGTGTGGCAGGCTACACAAAGCCATTCAAAAGATAAGATAAAACCAAATAAAAAATACGGACCCTGAGTAGATTTCCACGAGAGAAAAGCTCGGGTCTTTTCATTGGAAGAATGGCAAGTTCATGCAATGCAGTTTTCACATCCTCAAGGGCACCAATGTCATCAAACTTTATACCAATTTCACCCGGAGGCACCACTGCTGAAATGAAGTTGCTCTCATACTCATCCTTTGCAAGGTTCTGTGGCATTCATTCATTCGTGTTTCTTATATATCACATATGTTCAAAATCATATTTATATTGTGTGTTTTTTTTTTTTGTGTATGAATGATACAAGAAAGCTTTTTGTGTAGTTATTATCCATAAAGAAATCCAAGTACATAGCCATACACAAAAGTGAACTTTACAAGTTTCAGTTTACATATTGCTATTATCAGTAAAATGTAAGTTCATTGCTATTATGGATTTGTCATCATGGGTAAAAAAGTAAAGTGCATCGCCTATAATCTATATTATAGTGAAGGTGCATTGTTATTTCCTGTAATAAGTCCAAAAAAGAACAGCGACCTAAGTAGGACAAATCAAAAAGTACATAGTTATGTTATGACCTTATCCTTTAAAAACACACACCATGATTATACTTATTCTATTGTCATGAAAAGCATATGTATGGCCTTCTAAAAGCATGTATACATTTAATTAAGATGAAATAAAGCAAAGAACAAACCTTTAGGTTTTGTGCAGGCTTCTTGGAGATCAATTCCTGCTCTGTTAGTCTCATAATTGCAATTTCAAGGCTTCATGTTTCAAAAGATAAGTCAGTTAAAGGTAATTCAATAAAGTGAGCTGATTACTTCAGCCAAATTCAACTTTACTTTGTGGTCCCCACATCATTAGTCAATGCCCACAAAATGGAAGTCAGAAATGAAACTAATCAAAAGCACCTACAATACCTTTCACGGGGCAAATTTAATCTATCAGACTTGACAGAAGGAAGATCACAAGTGGATAGATAATGATTTTTAGCCCAACCAACAACATTCTCAGCTTCTACAAAAAAACATAACAGAATCTCAATATAAGTGTTTCTTTTTTACTTATTGAAGAATGAGAAACTTAATAAAGAAATTCAAGGAAATGAGGCTATCTCCATTTAGCCAACTTTTTCCCTACATCACTTACTGGAAGAAAAAAAGAAAAGAAAAAGAAACAGGTCTTACTCTTTGTTGTCAGTATCACTCCATCAGTATTTACATGCAAGAGGTCCACACAAGAGAGTTCATTTTCCTCAAGAACCTGAAACAGATTTGTAGTTTAAATACCCATAAACAGAAAACACGTATCAAAAACAATAAATGCATCACATTAAAAAAGAGAGAAAAGATGTATATACCTTATGCAATTCATTTATATTGCTCCTTGATATCACAATCCTTCTGTCTTCATCAATTTGTTTATTGAATACTCTAAGCGGATCTTCCTCCTGGAATGAAAAAGACCAAGAATAATAAACAAGTCTGTAATTGTAAATCTGTTAAATGGAATTCCACTAAGCTTCCAGTTTGTTAATTACCTTTGGAGGATGCAACGACATGATATTAGTGAATATCTTGTATATATCATTGTCCTCTGGCCTTCTTGTTGGCTTTAGTCCCTCAGTAAGTCGCTTTAAAGAGAGAGGCTGAATAATAATACAAGTTCCAATTGCAGTTAATGAATGTCAACTCTTAAAATGTTGCATCTTTTGGTCCCAAAAATGAAATGTCATTGCATATTTTGCATAGAATATAATCTGTTTTGAATAAAATAAGTGATAACACAGAGTATTCTGAAAAAATCAAAGAATTACCAGTTTTGCAAGGCGACCTAAATTTGGAAGGATCATAGTCTGCTAACAAAACAAAAGCATTACCAAATCTTTTTAGTATGAATGATATAAGAAAGGTAAGAAACATGACAACAGAAAACAAAACTTACAAATTTCTCCTTCTCTTTTGATCCAGTAGCAACTTTATTTTGCCCACATATCAAAACAACAGGACCCGATATCTGGTCAAACA